GACCTTTTCCAGGGATATACTGGGTGGCCTAAGTCCACCCCTTTGCTTCATTCCCTGTGAGGATTTCTCCCAAAAGTGACTCCAAGTCTCTGGTGTCCTGGGTCGTACAGTTCTGTCTGTGAGGAATAGTTGGTACAAAGCAGGTCTCTGGGCTGGCAGCATGTGCACCAGCCTGCTAGTCTGCGGGACCTTTCCTAGGGATATACTGAATGACCTAATTTGGATCCTCATTTCCTTCTTTCTCTGTATGGTTTACTCCCAACAGGGACTTCCAATCTCTGTTGCCTTGGGGCACACAGCTCTGTCTGTGCCAGAGAGGTGGGCGCACAGCCACTCTCTGGGCTGGAGGCTTGAGCCCAGTTCAGTGATGGCGGCTTGTACCAAATGGTCTGCGAGACTTTTTCCAGGTAAAGACTGGGTGACCCGTGGCCAGTCGCACTGCCTTCCTTCCCAGTGGGTTTTTCTTGCGACTAGGACTCCCAGTCTCTGGTGTTTTTTGTGCCCACAATTCAGCCTGGGAAGGTGATCAGGACAGGCAGGCATGTGGCTCTGGTCCAGCGACCTAGTGCCTGCACAACCAAGGATCTCTTCCAGGTTCTGGCTGGGGGACCTGAGCATGGATCCAACTGATTCCCACGCCGTGGGAGTTTCCTCTCACCTGGGAAACACGGCTGTTGTTTTAGGGCCCAGAGTTCAGTCTCTTGGTAGTTGTATGGAAAATGTTGTCCTGCTCCTCAGATGCAGTGTTCTCCTAGGCTGCCATCTTGTCCTCAAATATTGAACTTCTTGTATGTCTAAAATAAGTCCTATTAGTCATTTTTATATTTTAGTAGACTGAATTTGTTAATTTTCATATAAAGTTATACATGTACAGTGATCAATTTATCTTATATTATTTTTGATATATGTACTTAATCTCTGTCTTGATATGTATTCATGAGTCCTGGGAGTTTGAATAGAGGAAGTTGTGAGCTTCCTATGAAAATTGAACTCAGGTTCTCTGCAAGACCATGCGCTCTTAAGCCTCGAGCCATCTTTTTAGCCACTATTTCATATATATATATATATATATATATTTTTTTTTTTTTTTTTTGAGGAACTTGCCCGGTTTAAGTGTGAAGGTTGTACAAGCTTCCTGAAATGAATTAGGTAATTTTTCTTTTCATCATTTCTTAGAAGAACTTACATGCTGTTATAAGCATCTGTTCTTTATATACTTAATAATATATGCCTTGAGGTGTCTGGATTTAATGTGTTTGGAAAATACATATTTTTGACATATGTACATTTCTAAATAACTATGAAAGTATTCCTTCCTGTTCTCAACATTTTTATAGTAAAATCTGGTGTGATGCATACTTTTCCTGGGAAGGAAGTTTCAGTGAAGGCCTGTGTGGATTATGTTGGCCTGTGAACATGTCTGTGGGCCACTATTTTGATTACATTAATTGAGGTGAGAAGACACAGCCCAGAGTTAATGGCACCATTTCTTAGGCAGGAAATCTGGTATACATTATATCAGAGAAAATGGAGCCAGGGCTTTTTGTTGTATACCTTTAATCTCAACACTCAGGAAGCATAGGTAGACACATCTCTGTGAGTTCAAAGCCAGCCTTGTCTAAAAAATTGAGTTCCATAACAGCCAAGGCAGTACACAAAGAAACCCAGTATTAAGAAACAAAAACAAAAACAAAACAACAAAACAAGAATAGAAAAAAAAAGATCATGGCTCACTTTACAGATGAAAGTATTAATATAACAAGAATAGATGCTTAAGACCAGATATAAGTCTAGAGATATAATTATTTTTCTAAATAGATAATAGATTAACAAATATCTTAGTTTAATTGTTTTCCACTTAAAAAATCCTTGACAAAATCAATTTATGGAAGAAGGGTTAATTTCCTCACAATTCCTAGATACAGTCTGAGGATGTCAAGGCAACTGGAACTTTAATACACAGAGATATGCTGATAGAAGTAGTCGAATCCTTTCAGTCTGTGAATTATGGGTATGCCAAGCTGAGAATGGGCTCAGCCAGCCCCAGTCATAAGCACTTGGGACATGGCAATGGCTAGCACTTTTCTCTCCTAGAATTTTTCAAGGTAGGATTAGCTCACACCTAGAGAATGAAAAATACCTTTTGGCTGATGAGGTTTTAGGAACAAGGAGGAGGCTTTGCTACAATTCAGTCTGTAGCAAACAAAGTTACACTGCAGGCTTCCTTGTTCCTACTGCCATAGAGGGAAAGCAAGGAACCAGCTAAAGTCTGTTTCAAGGTCACCTAGCATGACCTTGGGGGTGGGACAGCAGTGAACCCACAGTTCTTTCACTATGCTGTTAGTGGTAGGTCCCTTCTTAGCATTGAGCATGGTTGAAACCATTTAAGTAGCTGCTTTTAGTCGAAGCCACAGCATGAAACTACCCGTAACTGGATGCACCCAGATCTTAAATAGCAGGCTCCTTTGTCTCCTGCTTCTTAAGGGTAATGGCTCTAGGTATTTCTATGTGTGGCAACCTCCTCTTCCTTGTGACACTCTCAATGGGTTTTTATCACAATCACTCTATTTAACCAAGTTGATTTCATGAGGCAGCTAACCAATAAGTACAGTGGGGCATCAATGGGTTATCAGAGATGAGACTGTCAGTCCAATTTAGATAACAAAGTCTCAAGGTATCCCCTGGCTACAGTACCTGGTACATTTTGCTATCTGCATGGTACTACATAGATTTGGGGTTTTCATGTAGTCGGAATACAATAGAAGGCTATGAAGTTTTCACGACCTAGGATGCTAGAGTCTATGCTGCATTAATTTGCTGGGACTCTGTCATGCCAACCCCCGAAGAAAGGAAGAGTCCCTCCTCTCTGTCCATTGATAGTTTTGATAGGAAATGGGAGATTTTTGTTCCCATCTTTAGCACAGCTGTGCCAAGTCCTGAATTTTGCTGTCTTGTTTATGTCTCATGTTCTGCCATGCTAGCTCAGCTCAATATGTTGCTCACCCCTTCCTCTCCAAGACCTTGATACAGACATGTGCTCCTTTTCTAAAGAATTTTGAAGGGGTTTTAGAAAACCCACTCAAACTTCTATGCATCCATCACTTTAGAAATATTGAGGAAATATTGAAATATATAAATAAGGAAGTTATACCATCCATGTGCATTTTGAAAGTTATGCCATATGCATTTTTTCACTTACATACTATTGGAGAATTTTATGCGACAAAAGTAGGTCTCAAAACCAACAAACCAAATAACCCAATAAAAATTGGGATACAGAGCTAAACAGAGAATTCTCAACAGAGATATCTCAAATAGCCAAGAAGCACTTAAAGAAATATTTAACCTCCATTGTCATGAGGCAAATGCAAATCAAAAGATCTCATCTTACATTCATCAGAATAGCTAAGATCAAAAAATCAAGTGACAGAACATGCTGGTGAGGATATAGAGCAAAGGGAACATTCCTCCATTGCTAGTGGGACTGCAGACTTGTACAACCACTTTGGAAATCATTCTGGAGGTTCTCAGAAAACTGGGAATAAATCTGCCTCAACACCCAGCTATATTTTTGGGAACATACCCAAAAGATGCTCCACCTTACCACAGGACATTTGCTCAGCTATGTTCATTGTATCATTATTCATAACAGCCAGAAACTGGAAGCAACGTAGATGTCCCTCAAGTGAAGAATAAATAAAGAAAATGTGGTTGGTACATTCATACAATGGAATACTACCCAGCTATTAAAAAGAAGGAAATCTGGAAATTTGCAGGCAAATGGGTGGATCTGGAAATGATCATACTGAGTTAGATAACCCAGACCCAGAAAGACACACATTGTATCTACCCACTTAAAAGTGGATAAAAGTCATAAAGTACAGGATGATCATGAAGCGATCCATAGACCCAAAGAACGCAAGGAGTGCCCAAGGGAAGATGATTGAATCTCACTCAGAACAGGAAATACAATAGACACCCAAAATAGATAGACAGGGGTAACTGGATGAAAGTGCAGGTGGGGATGATGACAGGGTTGAAGATCAGGTGGGCAGAAAGAGGAGGAGTGAGGGGATGGACCAGGAGGGAGAATAGAAATAGGTTCTGGGAGGCATCTCTGGGACCGAGGAAGCTCCTGGCAGTCTACAGAGGTGACCCTAGCTGAGACTCCAAGCAATGGGTGCTGAGGATCATAATGTTGGCTCCTCCTATAGCCAGGTGAGACCCCCAGCAAAGGGGAGATCACCAACCCACCCATAAAACTTTTGACCCAAAGAGTGCCCTGTCTACAAGAAGAGCAGGGGAAATATGGAACAAAGATTGAGGAAATGGCAAACCAGTGACTAGCCTAGCCTGAGAACAACCCCTCAGGAGAGGGCTGACCACTGTCACTATTAATGATACTCTGCTGTGCCTGCATTCAGGAGTCACTAGCATAACTTTCATCAGGGAGGCTTATTCTGGAAGCTGATGGAGACAGATGCAGAAACCCACAGCCAAGCAAGGGGACAAGCCAGGGAGTGTTGTGAAACAGAGGTAGGAAGGATAGAGGCAATCAGAGGGGTCCACCACAGACACCACAAGAATACCTACAAAGTAAACTAACCTGGGCCTATAGGAGATCACAGAGACTGAACCACCAATCAAAAAGTGTGCATGGACTGACCTAGACCATTACACGTATGTAGCATCTTGATCAGCATATGCATCCTCTAACAATAGGAATGGGGCAATCTCTGACTCTGTTGCCTGCTGCTGGGTCCCTTTTCCCTAACTGGGCTGTCTTGTCACCCCTCAGTGAGAGAGAATGCCCTTTGTCCTTCTGTGACTTGAGGTGCCAGGGAGGAGTGTTGCCCCTTGGGGGTTTCCCTTTCTCTGGAAGGAGGGAGAGGGGGGATGAGAGGAAGGAGTGTAGGGTGAGACTGGGAGAAGAGGGAGGGTGCTGTGATCAAGCTGTAATTGATTAAATAAATAAATAGATAAGGAAAAGTTATCTTTACCTGAAGCTATTTATATCGTACATCCTGCACACCCCTGGACCACCGCATTTCAGAGTTTCCCAATGTAAGCATGTTCTGTCTATCATAGCACCACTGAAAATAGGTGATGGGATGCCAGCTGCAATAAAGTGAAAAAAAGTCACGCCCCAAATAAATCAGCACAATAATGACAAAAGACCCAGTCCATTTACAGGAAAGAAGGAAAAAAATAGATGTGGGTTGTTTTTTTGTTTTTTGTTTTTTGTTTTTTAAGTACTTCAATTTCTCTATTTTTGAAAAAACAATATAACAAATTATGAATCAAATGCTCTAAACCTACTTTTAGGAATTATTAGTTAATGTGAACCTTTTAGATCACGAGAAATGAAAACTATGTATAAGATGCTAAGAATGTATTTATTGAGTTCATAATCATGAACCTCATGAATTTTCTGAAATGCCTTTTATTGGTTTTCTGTACACCCAGCTATCAAAACCATTTCCTTCTTATTTTAGTGTTGAGTCTACTAAAAGATTAAAGGTGTAATTAAGTTCAGGTGAGAGCTTCAAAGACCAGGGGAAATTTTTTTTCTTCTTTATAGTTACTTCATTCCCAGACTAACACAGGTAGCCATTTCCAAACACAAGGTTGGTGAACTGAAGTTCAGGGTAAAGTGAACAGAGCACACCTATATGAAAGATGCTACAAGGTCATTGGAACTTCCTGGATGTGGACAGTTGGAAAATTGCAGATCCAAAGACAAATTATTTTTACCTCTCTTATTGATCATTCATTGCCTCATCTGTGCCTCTGACCATATATCATTGTGACTCTCACATGACGCTTTGATGAAGTATTGACTTAAGAAGTCACTAGACTCCACCCACTCAAACACTAAGAATGCTATCAAATAGCATCTGAGCCTACAGCAGAATTTTCCCTGCTTTGCTGTAACAAACCTACAGGACGTTTCCACAGATACATTTGATAAGTGCCTTGTTCACGGATTCCTTTGTGCTCTAACTATAAACATCACAAAACTGTCCTCATGTGGTAAAATGATATTCAGATGACCTGAATATGTATGTGCCAAACTCATGGTCACTTATATGTGATTCCAGAATAAACCTGTATTCCCTTTAAGGTGAGAGTTGTGTTTTGGGTTGACAAGATAGTTTCTGTCTTTTTAGTCAGAGAAATTTAATTGGTTTACTCTGTACTTATTATTGATATGTTAGGGAAATCTTTCTTACCAAATAGTCTTATGCAAAATGTATGTAATCCAATTCCAATTGACTTTTCTTCAGACTTGATACACCTGAAAAATACATACATACCTAAATACATACATAAAAGTTAATCATGCAAATCTATATCTGCCCGATCATCCTCCCAATGGCAGGGGTAGCTCATGATTCTAATGCTTAAGCTTTTTATCCTGAAGGGAGAATGGTACAGATCTACCTCTTAAGCCCACACATAGGAAGGAGAGTAAGAACTTCTGAAAACTGGCCTCTGACCTCCACATATCTAAAGCAGGGCTGAGCTCTTTAACAGTTAGACACTGTCTGCTGACCTAAAGAAATAGGTTCCTGGTTAACACAGCAATCACCATGCCAAACCCCTCCTAAAGGACCCAAACTTTTGAAACCACAAACCAAATAAATCTTTACTCTCTTAAGTTGTTTGCCAGGTATTTTCTCATATTAATGAAAAAAAAAAATCTAACATATGCAATGTAAAAATTCAAGGAAAGGTAAATGCAGTCCCTCTGATAAACAGAGAAAGAGCCCATTATGCATGCTATGACACAAAGAAAATTACTTTGTTATGTGGATTTAACAACTTTAGATACTTGGCTACCCCATAGTGCCTTCAAAATAGACTTGAGATGGTTTTGAGAATTACATTCAATGGAAATGCCTAAAAAGCCATGGGATAAAAACTGAAAAAATTCTTATAAATTAGGAAGATGGGAGCTCTTTTTGAAATGTGGCCTTTTCCCACCAAATTCATCCTTGGGTAAAAAAATTAAAATGTGTATAAATGTTGGAATTTTATCTTCAAAGTGATTCCATGCTCAGATGTAGCCCATGGCAGCTCAGTATCCAAGTGAGTTCACAAATAAGGGGAACAGGGACTGTCTCTGACATGAACTCAGTGTTCTGCTCTTTGATCACCTCCCCCTGACCTGGGAGCAGCCTTCCCAGGCCACAAAGGAAGACAATGCAACCAGTCTTAATGAGACCTGAAAAACTAGGGTCAGATGGAAGGGGAGGAAGACCTCCCCCATGAGTGAACTTGGAGAGGGTCATTGGAAGAAATGAGGGAGGGAAGAAATGGGGTTGGGAGGGATTGAGGGAAGGGGCTAGAGCTGGGATACAAAACAAATAAACTGTAATTAATATAAAAAAGTAAAATATAATTAAAAAAGAAAACAGAGAAGAAGAAGAATAGCATGCAAACAGTGGAACTGTATTTTCAATCATTTACATTACAGTCATCAAATTTAGCAAGAAACAGCAAAGAAATATAAGACGATAATGGGAATATACCTTACCCTCATTACATTAATAACTCACACATTACAGCCCACAAGATGGCCAGCTAGATAAAGTTCCTTGCCACCAAGCTTGACAAATTGCGTTCAATACCTGGGACTTACACAGTGCAAAAGGAACCAACTGCTATGAGATGCCTTGTCATTTTAATATCCATGTCATAGCATTCACACACACACACACACACACACATGCATGCACACACACACACACACACACACACACAGTGTGAAGAATCAAAGAAAGTAAGCTAAATGAAGGAGTTATTTATTACCTCAGAAGAACCATGTACCCAGGTAGAGCTGAAAGTGAGTAGATGAAACTGTTAATTAGGGTCGTGATTAAATAGTACTGCAGCCTGTTAGCACACTCACGGCCCTTGTCACACAACCCAAGGACTGCAGATGAGTTTCCAGATGAGCGGATGCAGCTGCAATTGTGAAACACCTGTCAAAAAACAATGTCCTATTTAAGGAAAAGAATATTGGGTTTACACCTTCAATATTTTCTGCACAGCCAGCTGGATCAAAATGGAGAGTATTGGGCCAGGGATATAACTCAGAGGAAGAGCACTTATCTTGTTTGAATGAGAATCTGAGTATGAGCCCACACCCCATTAAATAGAAAATATTAAATAAATAAAATCGAGGCTCTTTTTCCTCTTTATTACCATCTCCTTTTTTGTATCTCAGAATTCTATCATAAAATATAAAAAATAGATTTTTTTTAAAATACAAGTATGAAATTTATAAAAAGGTATTTTTCATATTTACTTAGTTAGTTGGTTGATTTCCTTGTAGGCCACTGTGTGTGTGCCTGTGCATGTGTGTGTCTATGTATGCACACGTGTTTGCTATGGCATATAAGCAGAAGTCAGGGGATAAGTTATAAGAGATACTTTTCTCCTTATATGATGTGGGTCCCAGCATATAGCTCTGGTGATGAGGCCTAATTACAAATGTCTTTACTCACTGAGCCAACTTTCTAGCATAAACATTTTTTTCTGAAGGTATTGAGTGTGTGTGTGTGTGTGTGTGTGTGTGTGTGTGTGTGTGTGTGACAGAGAGAGAGAGAGAGAGAGAGAGAGAGAGAGAGAGAAAAGAGATGACAGAGAGAGAGAGAGAGAGAGATTTCTCTGTATAGCCCTGGAAGTCCTTGAATTCACTCTGTGGAGTAAGCTGGCCTCAAAATCAGAGATCCTCTGCTCTGTGTCCTGAATTCTGGGATTAAAGGCTACACCACCACCACCTGGCATTTTTTTAAATAAATAAATAATGCTTTGTTTTGTTTTGACACTAGTACTAAGTACGAAAACAAAATGTATTTCAGAGTGCTGGTTGAATGCTTAGGTGCTTACTAATAAACAGTCAGGTCCACAAGGAAATAGTACATTTAAAAAATAAAGTCAGTACTTTTTTAAATATTTTTATTATTATTAATTACACTTTATTCATTTTGTACCCCCCCATAAGCCCCTCCCTCCTCCCCTCCCTATCCCACCCTCTCTCCCCTTTCTGCATGCATGCCCCTCCCCAAGTCCAATGATAGAGGAGGTCTTCCTCTCCTTCTTTCTGATCTTAGACTATCAGTTCTCATCAGAAGTGGATGCATTGTCATTTTCTGTGGCCTGGTAAGGCTGCTCCCTCCTCAGGGGGAGGTGATCAAAGAGCAGGCCAATCAGATTATGTCAGAGGCAGTCCCTCTTCCCATTACTATGTAACCCACTTTGAAACTGAACTGCCATGGGCTACATCTGTGCAGGGGTTCTAGGTTATCTCCACGAATAGTCCTTGGTTGGTGTATGAGTCTCTGGGAAGTTCCCTGTGTTCAAATTTTCTCATTCTCTTGCTCTCCTTGTGGAGTTCCTGTCCTCTCCAGCTCTTGCTATTTCACACTTCTTACATAAAATTCCATTCACTCTGCCCAACAGTTGGCCATCAGGCTCAGCATCTGCTTTGATAGTCTGCAGAGCAGAGGTTTTCAGAGGCCCTCTGTGGCAGGTTCCTAGGTTGTTTGCTGTTTTCTTCTTCTGGCTTTCAGAGGCCCTTTGTAGCAGGTTCCGAGGTTGTTTCCTGTTTTCTTCTTTTGCTGATGTCCATCCTCTTTGCCTTTAAGGATGGGGATTGAGCATTTTAGTTAGGGTCCTCTCTTTTGCTTAGTTTGTTTAGTGGGTTTATCCTATGTTGTATATTTATATGAGTGAGTATATATTGTGTGTGTCTTTTTGCTTCTGGGACAACTCACTCAGGATGATCCTTTCCAGGTCCCACCATTAACCTGCAAATTTCATGATTTCCTTATTTTTCATTGCTGAGTAATACTCCATTGTATAGATGTACCACAGTTTCTGCATCCATTCTTCAGTTGAGGGGCATCTGGGCTGTTTCCAGCTTCTGGCTATTACAAATAAAGTTGCTATAAACATGGTTGAGCAAACGTCCTTTTTGTGTACTTGAGCCTCTTTTGGATATATGCCTAGGAGTAGTATGGCTGGATCTTGAGGAAGCGCTATTCCTAGTTGTCTGAGAAAGTGCAAGATTGATTTCCAGAGTGGTTGTACAAGTTTACATTCCCACCAGCAGTGGAGAAGGGTTCCCCTTTCTCCACAACCTCTCCAGCATGTGTTGTCACTTGAGTCCATAAGTGTGTGTGTTTATTTCTGGGTCTTCTGTTCGGTTCCATTGATCCACCATTCTGCTTCTATGCCAGTACTATGCAGTTTTTATAACTGTTGCTCTATAGTACAGCTTGAAATCAGGGATGGAGATACCTCCAGAAGATCTTTTATTGTAGAGGATTGTTTTAGCAATTCTCGGTTTCTTGTTATTCCATACCAAGTTGAGAATTTTTCTTTCCAGGTCTGTAAAGAATTGTGTTGGCAATTTGATGGGAATTGCATTGAACCTGTAGATTGCTTTTGGTAAGACAGCCATTTTTACTATGTTAATTCTGCCAAGCCATGAGCATGGGAGAGCTTTCCATCTTCTCATATCTTCTTCTAATTCTTTCTTCAGAGACTTGAAATTTTTTTCATACAAGTCTTTGACTTGCTTGGTTAGGGTTACACCAAGGTACTTTATGTCATTTGTGGCTATTGTGAAGGGTGTTATTTCCCTAATTTCTTTCTCGGTCCTTTTGTCTTTTGTATACAGGAGTGCTACTGATTTTTTTTTTGAGTTAATTTTGTATTAATTTTTGTTAATTTTGTAACACTTTGCTGAAGGTGTTTATCAGCTGTAGGAGTTCTCTGGTAGAGTTTTTGGGGTCACTCATGTATACTATCATATCATCTGCAAATAGTGATAATTTGACTTCTTCCTTTCCAATTTGTATCCCTTTGATCTCCTTCAACTGTCTTATTGCTCTAGCAAGGACTTCCAGCACTATGTTGAAGAGATATGGAGAAAGTGGGCAGCCTTGTCTTGTCCCTAAGTCAGTACATTTTTAATTGGTATATTTCCAAGTATCATTAAGAATCAAAATTCTGGATATATGCCTAGAAGTGGTATAGCTGGATCTTGAGGAAGCACTATTGCTAATTGTCTGAGAAAGTGCCAGATTGATTTCCATAGTGGTTGTATAAGATTACATTCCCACCAGCAAGGGAGGAGGCTTCCCCTTTCTCCACATCCTCTCCAGCATGTGTTGTCACTTGAATTTTGGATCTTAGCCATTCTGATGAGTGTAAGGTGAAATCTCAGGGTCGTTTTTATTTTCATCTCCCTGATGGCTAAGGATGTTGAACATTTAAGTATTTTTCTCTGCCATTCTATATTCCTCTACAGATAATTGTCTGTTTAATTTTGATTGTCAATCAACTCTAATGATTATGACATGTGTATGGGAAGGGAAAATGCTGTACTTTTCATCATGCCAAATCCTCATGTCGTGATGAGGGCTGGGGAGATGGAACAGTCAGTAAGTTCTGCACAAGCATGAGGACCTGAGTTCTCATCCACAGCACACATGTGAACAATGCATGCACAGAGCATATGCTTGAAACACTGGTCCTGTGTGGTGGACACAGGTGACTCCCTGGGGCCCACTTGCCAGGCAGCCTAAAAGGACCAGAAAATTCCAGGCCAATGGGATCCTGTCTCAGAAACACTAAGTACATGGTGCCTGAGAGTCAACAGCTCAGGTTGTCTTCTGGCCTGCATATGCACAGGCACCTGCATACCACACAAATACAAAAAACAAACAAGTAAATAAATAAATAATGAAATAGTTAAAAAGAAATCTTGTGATATATAAAGATATTTTTCCTATCCAGCTCAACTATACAGCAAGTTTGAGGCCAGCCAGGGCATCATGAGACCCTATCACAACAAAGGGCAGATCCTGTCCAGAGTAACTTACAGTGTTAACTTTAATGCTGATGTATGTGCATGTTCTGTATCCGTGTGTACATAAACAGGTGCATGTGGGTGTCTGGGGAAGGCAGGGGAGAGTGTCAGGTGTCCTGCAACTGGAGCTGTGAGCGTCCCCATGTGGGTGCAGCAGGTCCTCTTTATAGCTGTGCTATCTCTCCATACTGTCCAGATATATAGTCCTTACATCACTTAAATGATGACCTCAGACTCTGTCAAGGCTTTAAATAATCTGTAGGGATGGTAACGTCAAGGATGCGTACACAGACTAAACTGAGTTGTTCACAAATATTAATCTATTTTAACATGACTCTTTTTGCTTTTTTAGCATCCATAGGCTTAGGTCATAGCACATGTTAACACAGTACACACACATCAGCCCAGACACTGAAAGGATGTTTACCATGTTGATTCCCGTTCCAACAGACTTCTCACAGCCTGCAAGACAGGCGGACATGTATGCTAGGCCGTTGTCTCCACACACCGGATCCCATGTTTTTGTTAAGCAGCTACACCTTGTGTTGCAGTCAGTGAGGCCCTCATTCTCCACATCAAGAGGCTGCTGAACTCTGAAATGATTTAAAAATAATGGTACAGATATTAAACTCACCCAAGCACTTTATTTTTTCCTCTTCATCTCAGCATGCATGTATGCACATGCACACAACACAGAAAGAGAGGGAAAGTAGAGGGAGAGAGAGAGGAGAGAAACATCTTGTCATTTCCCCCAGAACACAAAGAGAAACGATACAAATATCAATGTGTGGTCTCTAAACTGGTTTTTGCATACAAGATATCTGCTCTACTGGTTTCATGACTGCTTTTTTTCAGTTACTTCAAAAACAAACGTTAAATGCCTGTCCTGTAGGAATATACTGTATTGTAAGAGCTAAACTGAAGATGGCTAATTTCTTATTGATCTGCCTGATGAGAAACAATGAGAGGGATGGCTTGAACCAAATCTGCAGTTTCCATTTATAAGATAGATTCTGCACTCTGTCCACAAACAGATCAGTTTGACTAAGCAGCCATGCTCTTCTGAGATATAGACAGTGTCCAGTGCTTACAACAAGATTCAAAAATGAAAATGTTGAATCTAGAGGCTGAATTCAAATCCTGTCCCTCAAACACAGTGTGCAGTCAGCATGACTAGAGATGGACTAAGTGTATACAATTCTACCTCGGTGTTGTTGAAGACACTTACAGTAAACTCACTAATTCTCCCTGAGTTTCAATTTCTATATCTACAAAGAGAATGGAAAAAATATCTGTCTTAAAAAGAGATTTGGTAGCTCAGTGTCCAATAGAGTTTCCTTGTAATGGGGACAGGGACTGTCTCTCACATGAACTGATTGACCTGCTCTTTGATCACCACCCCCTGAGGGGGAAACAGCCTTACCAGGGCACATAGGAGGACAATGCAGCCAGTCCTGATGAGACCTGATAGTATAAGGGTCAGAGGGAAGGGGAGGAGGATCTCCCCTGTCAGTGGACTTGGGGAGGTGCATGGGAGGAGATGAGGGAGGTAGAGAGGGATTTAGATGGGACAAGTGAGGGGACTACGGCTGAGATACAAAGTGAATAAAATGTAATTAATAAAATGTAATTTTTTTAAAAAGGTAAAAAAAAAAGAGTTGCCATAAAAACGATAGTTGCTGTGATCATGGTGTCTCTTCACATCAGTAAAACCCTAAGACCAAAAAGAATTTATCTATATCTATGTATCTATGTATCTATCTATGCATCTATGTATCTATGTATAAAGAGATTCAAATCAGATGGCACACAAACATATATGTATATATTTCACATCTCTCAATTCACAAGAATTTTGAAAGAATTTTTATTTTATTATCTCTCTCTTTCACTCTCCCTCTTCTGTGTGGCTGTATGTGCATGTGCTTGTACATGCATTGTGTGTGTGTGTGTAGGCACACGTGCACAACAGCACACTTGTGAGTCAGACTATAACCTTCCACCTTGTTGGAGACAGGTCCTCTATTGTTCACTTCTGCAGATATGAGACTAGCAGGCCCTGAACTTTTGGGGTTTCCTAGCTGTGCTGCTTAGCTCACAGTAGGAGCACTGGGATGAGAGTTACCCTACCATGTCAAGCTTTATGCAGGTTCCAGGATTTGAACTCGGGACATCCTGCCTGCTTAGCAAGTCCTTTACCACTGCGTCCTCTCCTCAGCCCTTTGAAAAGAACCTCCCTGGGTTCCTTATATAACTGTGTCATAAAATAAGTTTTAAATTTAAAATAAGTTTTAAATTTCCCACACTAAATACAGAATATGACCAGTCAACACCTAAAACATAAAATCTAACACTACAGAGTATATGAGACATAACAACACCAGTGACATAAACAACTATATAAATAAACTGATTTACCATTCAATTATGCTAAATTTGAGCCTACTGTAGAAACCTATCAAGGCCTGCTGATGTGTTTGATTTTTAAAGTTGTCTGTTGATGGGAGTTTAAAATACATGGATAATTTAGGCTAAAATTGTATGTTATTTTCTTTTATTACACTTTAAAGCAGACTAGGATATCACCATGGCAACTACCCACATGCATGTGGAATCATAAATGTACTCACTAGGAGTTTCTACTCTTGTTTAATAAGCATATAACTTCTATGGAGTGGTATAGGGTTAAATGGTGGAAGGAAGCTACAAGATAACCATGAATTACTGCTAAGGAGTTGTAATTAAATGATCTGGTTGTATATAACCCTGGAGAAAATGGACTGGCAATTGTGAACATATGATCTTCATTAAGAAACAACATACCCTTCATAAGAGGTAGTTAGGCCGGCAACTGGGAAATTATCACAGGTCATCAGAAAGTAACAAAATAATAAAAGGTAATCAGCCAGAGATAGGCAGAATGCTATGTATGCAGCTTTCTTGACAGTAATCTTGAATTTCTTCATAATAAAGCCACCAACTAAATAGCCAATACATATTGGAGGTAAGTTATAAAGACCTAAAAATGCAAGTAAAATAATAATTATAAAAGAAGCATAAAAATGTTATAAATTTGTCTAATACATCTTACTTAAGAAACTATTTAGCTCTAATATACTGTGATTCTAACCCCTAGTCTCTCACATATTACATAAAATAGAGGTTTTGAAATACCTCATAAAGACAGTTTAAAAACAGTTTTTATTTAATCACTTTACATACTTTCAGCAAGGTATGAAGACTTTATAAGCATTACACACAAAATATTAAATTTTTTATATATTATTTTCTACTCTGCTTTGAAGAACTTGACTCAGCTCCAGTGATTTTGAAGGTTACTACTGAGTCTCTGCTTATCAAGAGTTGAACATTTTGTGCATTGTCTATTTCCCAGAATTCTACCTTCCTGACTCTTTTTCTCCACACAAATTAAAAAAAAAAAGAAGGAATGAAGAAAAGGAAAGGAGAGGAGAGAAGAGGAGGGGAGGGGAGAGGAGGGGAAGGGAAGGGAGGGGAGGGAAGAAGAGGAGAGGAGAGGAGAAGAGAGGAGAGGGGAGGGGAGGGGAGGGGAGAAGGGTAGGGAAGGGAGGGGAGGAGAGGGAAGAAGAAAGAAAGAAAGAAAGAAAGAAAGAAAGAAAGAAAGAAAGAAAGAAAGAAAGAAAGAAAGAAAGA